CAAAACAGTTTTCTTCCCAACGTCACCGACAGTGTCTTTGAAAGCATGGGGCTGGGAGTGGAGGGAAAATCTCCTTAGCGCTGAGATCATTGACAATAAACCCCTTTTCTGTCAGATTAAAAAAAAAGATCTTCAGCACTGTTCATAACGTAATATTACACCGTTTCTATTTTGAGTTGTTGACCAACCAGAGTTGAACAATAGGGGGAAAGGGAGATTGATTCCAAAATAGTTACTTATTGATCCCTCACAAGTTTTCTTTCAGCGTTGGTTTAGTTCAGGATTGAGAGCTTCGTTGACTGGAATTTTCCGTAACAAAGATGAAAGACAACTAGAAATGAAATTAGATTTTTAACTGAATTCATGCTGTGCTTTTCTTGTTGAAAAATTACTTAATGTTGGACAAAGAAACCAACAAGTGTTGTTTCTGACGAGTCATTTTCAAGGCGGTGATTAAATGTTCTGTGTTTTCTTATTCGGCTCCACGCATTTGTTCATCTTATTGTGATGGGAAGAATGAAGTAAATTGTGCCAAAATGATTTGATCAGGTGTCCCAAAATTTAATGGGCAGGGACAGTTCAAAAATTTTTAAAATGTGAAAAACACTTTTCCATGGCAGGACTTTCGAACCAGTGGCGCGCGTGCAAAAAAAAACCGCAAGTTCCATAAATTTAAAAACATTGCTAACGCTATTGCTATTTGCTATTTAAAAACATGTGCTGAAACACATGTTCAGAAAAAAATTCAAAATTTGAATAAAACGTGCCGTGAAGGCAGGCACAAGGTGAATGTGCAATGTACAGTTCACTGAAAGTATGAACTGAGTACCGTGGATCCCTTGACAATAAAAACCCCACTATAGTTAAAAAAAACTTTTGCTATCTTGTGAAAATACTTTGGGATTTAAATCAGTAAATTAGTGTTCCCCAATCTGTGGTCCATGGACCAGCACTGGTGTGCAGAAGTTTTTTGCAAGTCCACAGGAAATCTTCTCCAGCAAAATAAATCAAATGTAGCTATGAAGGATGTTACATTATCTTTATCATAAATTTTTTGCAGGCAAAGACAGTTGAAATTATCTCATGAAAGTTAAATGCTGGCTTTTCTCCTAATAACACCTTGGACACATTTTCAAATACTGAACTAAATTAATTAAATTTTTCATTCTGATAACCTTTCTTATTCAAGCCCATCTTTCTAATTTTTGAAGCCATTTCACTGAAGCTGCTTCATTGATTCTTAAATTTGCAAAAAAGCAGAAACTTTCTAAATACACCTGCCATAAAGTCTTTCAGACAAAACTTTTTTGAATTTACAAAAATTGTATGAAACTTTGCTCATCTGCAGAATTTTTTTTAATATACTGGTCTGCAACCAATTTTTATGGAAAGTTGCTGGTCTGTTGGCTCAAAAAGGTTGGGGAACACAACTGGATGATACTGTACTTAAAAATTCAAGTCAATAGGCAATGAGATATAATTAAAGCTTTACTAAGTGAGTTCTGAAAATGGTCATGGATCCCCAATCTAAGTGGGCATGTCTTGAACAAATCAAATGTTGAAAAGCCATAGGTGTGCAGTGATGCAATTTTAATGTACTGAGAAAGGCATCAGGGAGGACATTTTCAGTGCTTTAATTACTGCAAGGAAAATACTGTACATTATTTTTACATAACGCATGCTTGATTGTAATGTCACTTGCATTTTTTTATATTTCCCAAAAAATTGTAGAATTGAATTCAGAAATCCATGCCTCAGCTCAGTGAAAAGCTTATTCAACAGTTTTCAAGCAAAAGCTGCATCTGTGTGAGTGGAGACCACATTTTTATTATGTTCATGACACTCTTTCCAAGATGAACTGTTTTGCTCTTTGGTTATTGTGGATTTAAAATTAAGATGCTGTACTCCAGTTAAGTGAATAACAATGCAATTGTTCTTCAATTGAGAATCCTTGCAAAAGCATCAGCAATACTTATTTTAAAAAAATGAAGGCCAACATCTAGGTTATTTTTCAGTTAAATTTTTTTGAAATCTCAATTAAGATATTCACAATTCTTCTTTTCATTATCAGTGAAAGGCACTCAAAATTACTGACCAACTGAGCATATACAGTATATATGTACTGTACGTAAGTTTCTCCATAATAATTTTGCTGCCTTCAGCAATTTTGACCAACATTCAGCATCCTCACATTAATAAAATGGTCATATACTGCATAATCTTGGTGAAAAAATCTCATTGTAAAAAATTAATATTGCTTAAAACATTCCTTTTTATGGTCTCTGTCCAATAGCCATGTTGTTACAGTTGAACCTTTGTGAGTCAAACCTGCCCAAGTCAAATACCTCCCTAACTTGAACTTTTTTTTCAAGTCCCTGTCTGGAATTCTGTTAGAAACAAAGCATGAAAAACATCTGTAACTCAAAGTCTTTTTCTCTCAAACCTCTGTAAGTTGAATTTCCTAATGCCTTTTCATTACTAATTCCTTGAAATATGAAACAGAAAATCAATAAAACAATGGTTTTAGACATTTTGAAAGAAAATGAAAGACTAATCAAACAAATGAACCCCTTTGTCCAAGTGCAGCAAGCTGTAAACTCATTATACGAAGAAAGTTTAGACCCAGAATATCCTCAATTAAAATTTTCTGCAATTTTTTTTTTACATACCCTTGCAGCAAAAATAATTGTTTCCTTAACTCAAAACCTCCCCAAGTTTAATTTTTTCCTGGGCCCTAAAATTTTGACTTAGAGAGGTTCAACTGATATGTAAATTTCTTCATGATGATTTTGTTGCTATAGCAAAGCTGTTTTAGTTGAAACAAGATTCACTGTATTTCCCATACTGAATGCCTGTTCCAATTTCCAGTGAACACCTTGGGGAGGAACTGATTTTATCTTTTAGTGAGAGCGTGGAAGGATGTTGAATGTGGCCTGGCAAGAGGCGCCGAAAAGCAGGCCAGCATGCCTCGTCCTGCTCTTTGCAATTTGCTTGCAAAGAGCGAATGCGGGTAACACGACGGGTCAGTTTCATTCGCGTGCTTCCTTCATTATTTCTCTTGACAAATGCATGCTTCACAAATATGATCTGCTCTGGAAATGAACAGACACAACGACACAATCGTCAAGTTCGACTGCGACAACCTGGATCCCGACGAGCGAACAAACCTCCTCTAATTATTCCACGGCTTCAATAATGCGATCAACATCATCGACAGAAAAGGCGGAGAAGTGGGAAGAGATTTCCGAGGGATTTATCAAGAATGAGGAAAAAACGAACAATGAAAATTCCACGTTGAGGATTTCCATGGTTCCGAATGAGCTCACAACAGGCAAGCACAATCTTACTACAGGTATTTTTGAAAGTTTTCTAAAAAAAAAATATGATCATCAATTTCGAGTAATGATTTTTTTCTACGCGCAGTTTAAAAAAAATTCGCAATCAGTATCTTTTAAAATCCCTTTCTTCACATATTCGAAAAATTTTCAACGTCTTTTTTGTATGACAAATTTGTATGCAATTTCAAATCTAAAAGCGCTCTGCAAATGCTGATTTTGGTGCCATTTTCATTTAAAAACTTGAGATTACTCGAATTTATTTTCAGAATAATGCACTTTATTTTCATAAAGGAATTTTCGCAAAAGGTTTGGCTTAATTTTCGATGCACTGGGGTTAATTTGAAGCTTGGAGGAAACTTAAAATACCTTCAAGTCTTCAATAACGCGTATGGACGAAATTGAACTACAGTATTGCAAAATAGTGAGGAGAAAACTATATAAATCCGTTGTCTAACCATTATTTTTAACAAATCAAAACAGAACACAAATACTACCGGTATAAACGAATTTATGTTACGATGAGCAAAGAGAATCCAAGGAAATCTACGAAATCATGGGAAGGCAAATATTTTTTCCAAATTCAGGGTCGGCATATCGGAAAAAAGCGGAAAAAGACAAATTTTACTAGGAACCAATAAGCAACGAAAAAAAAAACAATCCTTCAGAGATTTTTAGTAAAAATGAATGCAAGAGATAAGCTTTCTTTTTCTCCTTCATATGATAAGTTTCTTTGAATCATTTTTTTGAGCTGACCATCACTAATATAAATAAAAATATACAGAGATTCAGACGATAACACGTGTAAAACTTGCTATTTTCATATTCGAGTAAATGCGGAACTGAAACAATCATCGTAAGAAACGAAAAGAACATTCACTATTCTTATGAAGCGGAGATTTTATTCGGATGGTTACGTGGTTTAAAACCTTCAGATGGAAAATTTTAAGTTTCAAATGACACTTGAGACCATTGGTCACAACTTTTATCGTTGATTTCAATTTGTGCACTTATTCAATGATTCCTCGGAAGTAAGCAAATTATTTTCCGCAGGTTCTGTCACGACTGCAGGTCCTGTTTCATCGACTTCAGATTCAACTTCCACGAGCACCAGGAAATCGAAAACGGTAACGAAAAACCGAACCCAGGTATTTTCTACGGAAACGACCGAAATCGCCTCAACCACGACTCGTCGCGGAACCACGGATGCTGTCGCATCTTATTCGACTGAAGACGATGAAATTTCCACCAAGAAATCAAGATTTGAAAACAATTTCACCCCAGCAGAAATCTTCACTGATGAAACAACAGCAGCAGTGACGAGAGGTAATCCGACGACCGACGAGCAAACTGAGTCAACGGACACTTCCACGAACTCATTCGTCACATCAGGAAAAACCACACCCTCGAAAGCTTCTTCTTCTTCCTCGTTTGATGACTCCTTCATCAAATTGAAACGTGATTTTTTCAAGAAACCCACGATGAGGATGAAGACGACGAACACGACAACAACACTAACCAAAATGAGGAAAACGACTTATTTCACCAGGACAAGCCGTTACAATACAGGTGCTTATTTTTTCCTTGTACACTAAACTGCTGACTATTTTGATGTTCAGTATATACAGAGAAACCCAGAATTTTTAAAGTAGGATTTAGTTCGATTACGTTTAAAAATATCACACCAAACTTCTCCTAATCTCCTAACGATTAATTGGAGCACTTATCTCTCCCGTTCTGTTCTGTTTGTAGAAAAAAATTAACCCTATTATAACCAAGAATAAGTGGTGAGATTATTTTTTAGGTAAAAAAGCAGATTTGGTAGCGTTTAGCTTGACTTTACCTTGCAGATTTTTATCTCGTACGAATGCTACTTTTACACTTTTCCTTTTAGAAAAACCTGGCAAAATTGGGATGCAGTCAGCCACTGGCTTGAACTAAACAATGAATGTGAAGAATGCTTTTGTCAAGTGAAATATGATGCCTCCACAAATTTAAAATTACTTCTTACTGAAAGTCTAGTGAGAACATGAAACGAATAATCGTAATACTGTAGCATCATTTTATGATTTTGAGGGCAGTAACTTCTTGATTTCTTCTAATTTTGATTCCCAAATGTCTGAACTCTTTCGCTTTGTTTATAAAAATTCATTTTTCCAAAGAAAACTTATATTGAATTCTATCGGGACTTCAAAAATTGGGCCAGTCGTATGAGAAAAACATATTTAAATATGAAGTATACTTTCTATATTCTAAAACAAGTGCTTTTCAAAGGTACGAATTTAACATTTAAAAAAATCATAACAACAGACCAGTATATACAATTATACAGTATTGTGCAATATACTGTACTAGTACTTGTACTGAGAAAGCGCGTATTGCCCTAATATATACTTTCAACAGTGAAGAATTAACAATTTTCTGGGCTGAAAATATGAACTTTGTCACGTGATTCAATTTCCATAAAATTAAGATGCCACTGCTGATTGCAAAATTAAAACATCCTACATTCTCCTCATTTATGAAAAAATTGCAACTCTATGGAATGATCTAAAGGTCATAAAATTCAGTCATACCCATAAGTTCAAAACAGCAATTATTGTCATTTAAATTTCCCATATTATTTCTGTAAGTCATATTTACAAGGGTTGTACTTGTCCCACTTGGGCACAACCTTGGTATTCTAGAGTAGGTATGACAGTATGTCCCTAAAGTTGTTAGGTTCTGAGATTTTTTCAGATTAAAAAAAAAACTTTCAAGGATAAGTGAAAACTTTCCATGCAGTTATGGCCATAGTTCTCCAGCAGCACCCATGCCACCAGGCGCTAAAAATTTGTCAGGCCAGGTGAAAATTAAAATTTTTCCACTGTTTTAACCACTACAGTATCTACAAATTTAGAAAATATAATGGTTATACAAACAAATCGATTTATATTCATTAGCTGGTGTGAATTTTTTAAATCTAAGGCTCTAGGGTGTTTTATTTGTAACCATTTTTTTCAATTTACTGCATGATTATAAGTGAAAACTTCCCAGCAGTTCCAGCTAGGGTTCTCCACCCATGTGCCAGGGTGCTAAAATGTGCGAGGCTACCTAAAAATTGAATTTGACTGTTTTTTAAATCAGTATCTAAAATGCAAAATCTTTGCAGTAATAAGTAAACAAAAATCCATATTTTATCGTTTCTGACAGATTTTCAGCACCTTTTGAGACGGGTAGAGAACTCCGGCTGTAAATTGAGCCGTTCTCTCATGCATTAAATTATTCGTTTTCAATTTCCAGAATTTTAAAATATAACTGTATGTGGGCTATGTTATGCGTTTTTTGCCATCACACCGGCTCTATAAATATCAGAGGTTTTATCCAACTGGGACAACCCTTGTAAATCATGTCAAACAGAATGATTTCTTTCATTCAAGAACCCAGCACAGATGTCTATAACACCAAGAGAACCACAGGGAATACAAGCAAGAGCTTTCGCACACCCACGAGTTCCACAAGGACTACGACCTCGCGGAAACGAACAACGACATCTACGGCCCGGATACGGAAATACAGCACATCGACTAGAAGAGCCACTTCTGCATCCAGAGCAAGGAGCTTTTCAACACCGAAAGCGACCACGCGGTCAAGGAAACCATCAAGCATCAGAATTTACACTTCCACCAGCACGACTGCGGCAAAAACGACGACGACAGAACCCTCCGTGTCTTCGGATGCAGAGCTCCAGGAGTTGCGGGCAGTTCCAATAACAACATGGCGAAGCCTGGGCTCCAACGAAGAACTCACCGAAGAAGTAAACAACACTCAAGAAATGCAGCACATCAACGACGATTTCGACGCGTCAAGCGAAGACGAAACTGCTGACGGAGACGACGAAGACGTCATCATCAAGTCGAAAAAAGACGAAACGGGCTCAAACTCGGACTTCTTGAACGACAAGGAGCTAGAGGCAGTCGTGGTGGAAGACATTAACCGACTCGACAACACCCAGCCACCCAAGTCCGGGGAGTTCAAGATCCTGGAAGTCGGAAGCGACGAAACCAGCGTCTCATACGACCCAATTATCGTACCATTTCCGGAGGTAACGTCCATGACACCGGCGGAATCAGTGGTGCGACTCATTCGCGGGATATCCGCGCAAGAGCTCGCGCAGAAAGTCAACGAGCTCAAGAAGCAAGCCAAAAATGCCGAAATGCAAGAGAAGGCGGCTCAGCAAAAGTTCAAGGATGCTGAGCGCGAGCGGCGGAAGAAGATCAAGAAGCGGATCCAAGAGGAGAAGCAACGTGCAATGGAAGAGCGGCGTTTAGAGAAAATGTCCATCAAAGAGCAGCAGAGACGCATCAAGAAGATCAGACTTCTCAAGAAACAAGAGCAGAAGGAGCGAGAACACCGTGAAAGGATGGTTCGCGTGGAGATGGAGAAACAGCAAAGGCTTCGTACTCAGGCTCGCCGTCTTGAGCTGAAGCTGGAGCGTCAGAAGCAGATCCAAGAGGAGCGGGCTTTGGCATTGGAGGAGAAGCGAAAGAAGAATATTTTAATGGAGAAGGAGCGCGAGCGGAAGAAGGCCGAATTGGAAGCCGATAAAATCGCGCAAAAAGCGGCCATGGTGCGAGAAATGGGTGAAAAGACCAAGGAAAAGTGGAGAGAGATAAACGACGAGTTGCAGGCTGCGCAAGCTCAGCGGAAATCCGAGGACATGAGGAAGATACTATCCGATAAAAAATCTGACGAAGAAGAAGATTGAATTAGTGATTCCTTCTTCGTGCAACGTACAATTTCAGACAATGCCATTTTTTAAAGGCACGATATGTATGCCAAGATGAAACGTTAACATTCGAATCTCACGAAATCAACAGTAAAAAGCTGCACGCATCCTGAAGAAGAATTTTTCCATTCAATGAACATCGCGCGGAATTCAGAGACTCACCAAAAGCTACCCATCGCATCATGGCTCCTGAGATTTCAAAATTCGAAAATCTTTTGCACGCTTCATCACTCATAGGATTGAAAGGTTTTGCATCTTATCTTCATAAAAAAGAAAGCATATGAACGCCTCCTTCACAGCAAGATTCTATTTACCGTGAATATATTTTCCTGGTCCTCGGCATACCTTCATCAAATGAGTATTAAACTCTTCATCGGAATTCTCTCTTCAACTACTCCGCTGATGTTGGTGGTCTCGTTGCGCATCGATGCACATAAAATCCATCACAAGTGCGCAACAGACAGCAAAAACTTCGCCGCAGATCCCACCCAGATTGTTCCGTAAATCGAAGTGGCCATCGTCCCAACGCAGAATTACACGGTACAATTGAGATACACTAAATCTTAATTTTTGCTCGATTTCACACAGAAAGAAGAAATATCTTCACTCAACAGCACGCAACCAGGCAAACCAAAATTTGTTCTCGAATGAACGAACAAATAAAGGAGGATTTTTAGAAATAGTTTCATTCACTCTTGATCAAGATTCAATTTCCACAACGTGTCAACACGCGACCAGAGCCCTCCGACTAAACCGAGAATTTTTAAGAATCGCCGCTGGAAGTAACGCATGGAAAAAAATTTACGTACGTCTCGGGAAGGGAACGCCCAGAGCCTCAACTAGATTTCATAACTGAAAAGCTGGGGGCGACACTGAACAAAAGAAAAACAAATTAAAATACGAACGTTACGACTCGAGCAATTTGGCTCCGTCGCACTGCAACGAGGCAATAAAAAAAAAACAGCGCAGTAATAAAAATCTCATTTGCAACACGCGCGCAGAAAAAAAGGAAGAAAATCCCCAACAGAACATCCACATCAACTGACCCCCGAGTTGGAATCAACAAGCCCAAGCTCACGAACATTCAATTTTACGACGCTTCGGAGGCAACACAATTGTCACACCGTTCCGCTTTTTCGCAACGCAGCTCTTGAATTTCAACGCGATTTCCGCCACTGCTTTCGCTCCGTTCAACGGTAAATCCACAGGCAGCAAATTCGCGTAAGACATCAAATGCGCATTCACCTTTTGCAGAAAGGATCCGACAACTTTCTCTCCCTGCAAAGCGGCTTCCTCGAGTTCTTTGACAAGGTCTTCGTCATCACTGACCGGAGAGTCGCTTTCGGATCCGTCAGCTCCAGTCGTCTCCAGGTCAGTCTTCGGCTTCATAACGTATTCATTGGAACTGTATCTCTGGTTGGGTTTTCGCTGTCTGCGACTGCGTCCCGCTTCTAAATCTACTGCCGATTCTTCGGGGGCTTCTGGGGGATCATAAACTATTTCATACACGTAACCCTTCTTGCTAGGAAACACCGGAGCTATGTATGGTTGTTGCAGAGTTGCCCCTTCCGTCGCAATTTTGTCGGAGATGAAATTCCTGTTCAACTGGTTGAGGCGATTGTTTTCCTCGTCCACGCTCGGTGAAGTTGGCGACTCAACAGATAAGGAATCAACTAGATGCGCCTGTTTCTCCGGAGTCTCGACCGCGGGTTCAACAACGATGCCTTCATCGGCGCTGATTTCCGATTCAGGGGACAATTTTTCCGTCCGTTTATTCTTGAGTCGCGAGAGACGTTTGCTCATGCGTTCCACGTTGCTCACTGTGAGGACTGATACCGATTTCGGCTCCGGAAGCGAAGGTTCCACTACTGGAGACTTCTCCGGAATGGCGAGAACTTTGTCTGATGGCACAAAGCCGGGTTCATCCATAGACTCAATCCCGTTAGAGTCAAAGATTTCTTCCGAAGAGTTGCCTTCTTTGTTGGAAATGGGAACGAAGCTGTTTCCACATTTCTCGACAATCTGGAGATCCTCCTGCAACGCATCAAGATTTTCTAAAATCATCTTTTTCTTGATTCAACTCGTTCTTGGGGGGGATTTTTGATGCATTGGGAATTGCGCATAAGGGGGTTAAAGAAAAAAAAAACTGTCGGATCGTCTTTAACGACTATGCTGTAACTAAAATTGTCCTAAAGCCATGACCGATGAATGAAGATGAAACAGATATTTCTGACACAAATCAGCGCATGTGTTCATTCCGCGGAGCTATACGGTTTCTCACGGTTGAAGAAAAAAAACGGACGATCGGATAATACAGAAAGTTATTCATAACGTAAATTTTACCAAGAGGGTTCAGCATTTTCATAGAAGAGCAAGCAGCCGAACTTCTGAAAACTCGCCGCTTATCTTTTTTTTGGTTGAAGTACTTTCCGAAACTCACATTTTCTTGATCGGTGCCACACGCAGGGGATTCCTTACGAGGAGGATCCTCTTTCTTGAGCACTTTTGACTTTTTCGATTCTTGCAACGAAGCGTGTGACTTCGAAGATCTGCATTTGGCAGCGGATGACAACTCGTGGCTGCTGCCATTACCAAATTCTCGCATTCGTGAATCGACGGAATCCCCGAACTTGTCATGGGACAACCCCGTCTCTGATTCACTGGAATGTGCGTGATCCTCACCATTCGCCAGGCCATTGTGAAGAGTACCAGATTTTCTTCTTTCTTCGGGTTTCCGCTCGATTTTCTTTTCGCTGAAAAAAAAAATTACCAGTGAAGACACGAAATTCCTAAAAAAAAGCGTAAAAAAAGATACCTCAGTTTTGATATCTTTTTCAGGGCATGAAATCCACGATCAAGGTCGTCTTCAGAAGACGAACTAGTAAAAACTTGCGGTTTTCTTCGTTTTTTCTCGTTTTTATCGGATTTTGAGATCTCCTCTGTCATTTTCGATAGCTGCTTCGTTTCAGAATTCTTTGCGTCGGGGCTCTTGTGCTTGCCAACATCGTTACTCAGCTTCTTCTCAACCTGAGTGTCAAGTTTCACCTTCTTTTCAACGCTCGCAGATTCCATTTTGATTTTCCCATCCGGAGAAGATTTCTTTTCAACGTGAGGAGGCTTCGGTTTAGGGATGAGTTTCGAATCTTTATTTGGCAAAACAGGAGGAGAAATAACTGGCTTGGGAACAGTTAAAATCTTTACGCCGTCTCCCCGAGGATCAAACAAGTCTGGTGGTGGCATGGGTGGCTCACGCTTTTTGGCCTTTTTCGGAACATCTCCCGAGCTTTTCCTCGACTTTTCATCATCGGTATTCTTCGACTTCACTACAGCTCCATCGTCTCTCGCGATTTTCTCACCAGATTTCCCATACTCAGTCGCATGTTTTTTGGACAATTCTCTGTGAGAACACTCTTTTTCAGAGCCGCAAACTTTGCAGGGTTTGGTTTTCTTTTTGTCTCTGTGCTTTGACTTCTTCTTCTTGTCCCGGTCCTTGTGGGATTTTTCTTTATCCGATGACGACCTGCGGCGGCGGTGTTTCTTCTTCTTTTTCGAAGATTCTTTGTCTGATGATTTATTTGGTTTCTTATCGTTTCCACCTGGGCCGTTCCCATCTCCAGAACTGTCTCCGGGTGGAGGTGCACCATTTCCTCCTACAGAAAACAATAATTAAATTGAGATTAATCCTCAGAAACAATCGCGAAAATGATCCGCCGTTCAGCTACACTCATTACGAATTCTGCAATCGAAAAATTCCAAGATTCAAGAATCAATAGAAGAAATACTGAAGCATACTCGTACAACATGGAATGCTGAACAAAGCAAGTCATCTACGAATAATATCAATAATTCATATTCACAATTCTGAAAAATTTAAACCTTCAAGCTTAAAAAAAAGGATGACTTCGGAAAAATAACCCAATCATTTCGGACACCTATCGTAATAGAACTCCCGAAATTCTCTCCCTTATCTTCTGAAACACATATACTGTATTTCGATTCATTACCATCCCATTATGACTTAATCCATTTCAATCAACTCATTCTGATGGGTAGACGAAATTTAAATTTGCGATGCACTAAAATTCCGTTACTGCACAGTACCTTGATCAGGTGGCGCGTCTCCTTCACCAGGAGGCGGAGGCGGCGGTGAAGGTGGCGGAGGTGGAGGAGGCGGAGGAGGTCCCGGAGGCAAAGGCGGGTCGGAAGATGATGACCCTGACGCTCCGCTGGACCCACCACCGCCACCGCCTCCATCCTTTTTGCCGTCACCGCCTCCACCTTCGTCATCCGAGTCGTCGCTAGAAGATTCATCCGAAGATTCGCCACTGCTAGAACTCTCTGCACTGGACGACGATCGCGACACACTCACGCGGGAGGAAGCGACGGCGGCTGATTCGAGTTCACGATCAGATTCCGGCAATTTTGGCTCCGCTTCAGGCTGAATCACCGTTTCTTCTTCCATTGCGGAAAAATCCTCCGGAGAGTCCACAATGTCCATCGCGACTGGCGATTCCCGCTTCTCCTCGGTTCTCATGGTCTCCGCAATGGATCTGAATTTGAAATATGAAAAAAATTTTCCACCTATCTGTGAGTTGTACCAATTTAAAGACAAGCCAGCGCGCGCTAATCTACTACCTCTTGAGTGGGCCATCCTGGCCTACTGTAATATCACCTGTGAAAGGCATACCTGGACTTCAGAAATTAATGTCCTTGAATTGAGTTCAGGACCAGCTTCAAGTTTAACTTCAAAACGCTCAATTTTTTTTCGGTGAAGCATTCACCTGTTCAATATATTACCTGATTCCAAAATTCCAACCTAGGACCATGAATTATAGTCCTAGCACGTGGTACATACTCAGAACAACGCCCATGATTTCTTCGCAACAATTTTGCGTAGCACCTGGAACCTGGCCAGTGACCCTTTTTTATGCTTGGATTTATTCGTCAAGATTCTAAGTTTAGTAATTGCAAAGGACGTCTCAAAAGTGAATAAAAATGAAGAGGAGATTCTGAGGGAGGTGAGTGAAATTCTCTATCACCATTGAAACAATGGCTAAAACGTCGCAAGCGCAGCATTAAAAAAATATGGCGCAGAAAAGGTTCCTGCTTTCAACATGCATCGATGTCATACAATTTTAACCTTTTGCAACAGAAAAAGGTGTTTCCTTATGACTAATAAATTGTCACTGCCATTCATGAAAGTATTTCAATTTTAAACAATCCTCTGCAGCTCCATCTGTTACCGACTTTCCAGTAAGATTTGAAATTATTCAAGTAAAACATGCAGATTCTTTTTCTGCGCACCCTATGCCGTTCATAATATAAAAGCCGTATCGTAATTAAAATCATGAAGAGGAACAGAAAACTTAGATTCGATGAAACTACTCCATGTAAGTCCTAATTTTGTAAAATATTTTTCCTCCCACTATAAAAATCGATCACGCGAAAAAAAGGAACGATAATTACATCCACTGAGAAGAAACACAAAATCATTTATATATCCAGTAGATTCATCATAACACTTACGGTTTGACGTCACATTCTTTTGTATCTTCGTCGAATCCCATCTTCGGGGGCAATACTGGAAGAGTGGGGAACTGTTGAGCAGACGGAGTGGTCACAGGAACGTGCGCGGGAGTAATAAACGCTGGAGTGTACGCAGAACCAGTGCCTCCTCCGTTTTCCCCATTCGTAGCAATGCCGTTGCCCATAGAAACTTGATACGGGGCTTGATAATTTCCGAATTGAGTGTAGTAAGCAGGGGGACAGAATCCGAACGGATTTCCACCCGGAAACATGTGAAAGTTCTGCATAGCTTCATTACTGTCGTCCGAACTGCTCTCCGACTCGGAGTCCGGATCCGGAACTGGAAGGCCCAAATGACCATAGTAAACAGTTTCCACTTTCCGAAGCAGCGTCGTTGATTTCTTCGCATTTATTAACTGATCGGCCAATCGAGAAATGCTTGTTTCCATTCCCGACGAACTGTGAAGTTTTATTAGTTTTAATATAACCGCTTGACATCAGCAAACCTTAAACTAACTTCAGGGTCTGGCGCAGCTCTTCTCGTATTGCATTACGATTCAAATCTGGCGACCATTTGATTTTTCCCAAATGCTTCTCGATCATGGTCTCCAGCCGATTGCACACATTTTGAAAACCCGCCTGAAAAATAACGGAGTACACGTATGAGTTGATCAAGAAGCCGAAATGAGTTTCCCTCATAGACAAACTTTGAGTTTCTTCCTACATTTTGTAAGTAATTAGAAAATAGTTCTTCAAGTTGTTAGAAAGAAGAGTTCTCATCAGAATCCTCCGTACAACTGGGGGAAGTAATGGGACCAAAAACGAGTCTCCGTTTACATTCCAAGGATGTTCCTTAATTACAGCCATTCGGGCAATTTCTTACTCACCAATTAAAATTTTACGGCGACATTAACAGTCGGCATCATTAATACAAGAAACGCCGAGGTTGAAAGGTTTTCCTTTTCCGAACGTGATTTTCAGATCTCGGAAAACAGTAATTACACTTTTAATCAAGGCAATCCGACATATTTCGTACACATTATGTCAGTTCAGAAGAATCGCCGTTGAACATTTTTTTCCCAGTGATGAGATACACTTCAAAACGTAATAAAAAAAAATCCCGCTGCTATGCAGGTAAACCCGTAAAAGCAAAATATTCATCAGTAATAAAGGATTGATATGATACCTAAAAATTGCGTAAATAAAGCCAACAAGACTACAACAGAGGAAGCGCAGGGCTGAAAAACCTTATGAACCAACCCTCGTACCTCAGAAGTACATAAACAGAAACTCCGTCAATATTATTAGGCCTACCTTGGTGTCAATGTCTTCCATGCTTTCACGACGGAATTCATCGAAAAGACCTTGATTCTTGAGAAGTTCAAAAACTTCGTTTTGGATGGCTGGGGCGGAAGAAGAGTCGAACTTCTGTGAGACTTCATTCCCGTTCCACCTTAATTAAACCAGCGGAATTCGAAAATGTCATGATTCAATTCGATTACTTTGGGGAAGCCATGGGTCAAATCAAGTTTCGGTCTGTCAAATGGTGGATTCAAGCATTCAAGTGCTAAAATACGCACCTTGAAGAAGCTCCCTCTTTCCCGTTCCCCGCATTCCTCACTAAAACGCCCGGCATTCCGAACTTTTCGTCTTTCGTCACATTTGCCACTCTGACTTTTTAAGATACCTTCATTGAATCGTAAAGTAAGAATCAATCGACAATTAAGCAAATGGGAAAGTTGCTGAAGGCACTTCAACCAAATGTAACTTATTTTTGGTCCACACACAATAAAAAAAAATCCATAAACCATCTCAAGTCACACATCAACCAAGAACCACACTAGAACGTCAAAATAACTGAGATCAACGATGAGAACGATTAAAACCGCGCCACACTCGTCCAAAATTTTGAACGCAACGCGCAATCCTCAACGCCACGACAAATGCATCAACTCACAAGAAAAACATCGTAGTCCATCACAATGCTAGCATATATCCTTAAAAACATTTCCCCACATGGAAGCCCTGTTTCAATCATGATTCCCCAAGCTAAAAGTTCCCGCAAGTTAATTATTGTAAATTGGTAAAGGATGTGCTTCGGTATTTATGACCCAGTCGTCCATGCTCAAATCTGGACTCCCGTTCAACGCGTCTTCCCCGAACAACAGGTAGAAGTATTTCAACGTCTCGCCCAAAAAGAAGGATTCCATCATGTCGAGATGTCGCATCGTCGCAATGTTACGAACATTGCCGATGCTTGAATACCCGTCAGTCACCCTGGCGTATTTCTCGAATGCCTGTAACGAAATGCACTTTTAAATTTTCTGCAAAACATACAGAAGAAGCTGCATTAGGCTGTAAATTCTTTCTTCTTAGAACATCCCCGCAGTGCTACAGAATGCATCTGAGCATGTGCGTTGGTTCTGTTAATTATGACTGCTGTCACGGAAGTTCTCACTTAGGTCTTGCTAGGTTGCATTAATTGGTCAAGGTTTTCGGCATAGTTCGTAATGTTGACGGTAGATGAGGTTAATTAGGCGTTGGGCCACGCACTTGGGATTTCTTATTCAGGCGCGCTCCCTCAAATTATTCGAGCAAACGCGTTAACACGGTTATTAAAGTCTGCTCATCACGCCATCGGAAAGACTGATCAGATCGCCATTACTTCGGAAGTATAAAGTCAACTGATACCTTTATGCAAATAAAAAATATATACTGTACAAAAGAGCTGATTTATTATCAAGGCAGGCCTAACTGAAAAAAGGACTCGAATAGGCATTCGGCAATTCGCTCGAAAGAGAAACTGCAAATAATACCCGGCGTACTGAACGATCACTTACCTGATATATTTCCCAGCCCCACTCTTGGTACGTCGTATTTCCCGTGAAATAGTACATGTAGAACAAGCTTTCAATAGTTTCCGGTCGCAACAAATTATGCGAATCGTTAATATTCACATACATATCTTCACGTGGACTTGTCTGGAAAAAAAATAAAGTAATAAAACGCCAATTCCAAGACGAATTGTAGGAAATATAAACCGTACCTCAACATTGAAATGAGTCAATTCCGCAGCCAGAAATGAAGGATTCATAACATATGTCTGATAGCACGTGTACATTATTTCCTCAGCAAATTCGAGGAATCTCTTGGATAAACCATGGTGTATGCCATACATTATGGTTCCAGGCAAATAACAGGTCAGATGATCCTGTTGCAAAGATACCGTCAATCACAAGCCAATAACCAACGAATTCAAGGAAATCACCATCTTCGGGTTGAAGCTTCTATCGTCCCGAATTTCCCCGATGAACATAAGCTTCTTTGACGCAGTTCGTCTGACTAGATGAGTGATCACACCATCCATAGCTTCCTCGAAATCTTTCAGCAAACTAAAATTGAAGAAAAGGCAACACAAAAGAGTACATCTCAGACGAATTACTCATAAGTTCGGAATTGAAACTTGAAATCGTAACACAAATCTCGTAGAAAAGAGAAAATAAATCAAAGCTTTTTAACTTAGAACCAATTTTTAAAAATACACCAAAAACTAGTCATGAAATTTCCAAATGAAATGGCATTCGAATTCACGGTAAACTGATCTTTTTTATCCCAAGAAATAATTCGTGACTAGCCGTTCAAGGTAATGAATAATGAAAATGGGCTATTCTAAAAAATCGAATGAGTAGACTTCTCACTAGTCTTTAGTTTTTCCCGTCTGAATCCACTGCTTCAATAAATATTCGTAGTACGAATCTCCTCGTGCACCCAGAGTTTTCGTCGAACGCGGACGAAATCTCCCGGTTCGTGGACTGATATAAATCGGAACTAAACCGTCGGGTTTAGGTATATCATGGATTATTTCGTTTACTTTAGCTGCGGCAATCTGCAAGAAAAACATTTATCAATTCATCTACTAAAACTTCAAATCGAAAAAAGGAGAATGCACCTCAAACTTCGGGTTACCAGTAATTCGAGACAGATCCCGAAATTCCAGCTGAACGGTGGTAACTTCTGACGTGGAACTATCAGGACTCCAGGCAGGTGACTTCGCAGTCCTCAAGAACAAGTTGACGTCCGAGTAAGGAATTCCAGACGGAGAGTTAAAAGCTACGAATAAACGTTCACCCAAGTCTTCCTGTATTTCGCAATAAAAATTATTAGTTAGTATTTTTTTAAATTCGAAGAAAATGTCTAGACAACTCACGGCTTTAGTTAAAAATACGTCATCTCTTGACAGATGAAACGCAGAAAGCAAACCTCCCATCACTCGAATTGTGGTTTCAAACAAATTGACTTCTTTTTTCACGCCAATAACCAAGCTATCCCGGATCCAATCCCTAGCTTCTTTGAATTCTGAAAAAAATAAATGAATATTACTGTACAATAATTTTGTCTGCGAAACCCTCACAAATTTGTGTCAAGTCCAATCAAAAATTAATCAGATAAAATTAAAACAAGTTTTTGTCCGATAAGCAATCACGCCATTAACGAATCTGAACAATATAATCGCTAAAACTGGAATGTTTTCAATAAAAAAGCACGATTTAAAGTGTGACGTTTCAGAAATTAGTCAACCGAAGCATCTAAAATTGAATTAGCGGTTTGAAGTATTCCTCACCATCCAATAAATTCATTATGTACAGGGTATCCAGTGAATCAACAATCGTGAGGCCTAGACCGAACCAATTTGCGTAAGACTTTGAAATCGGTTTCAAGTGATCTTGACCCCAAGCGTACGTCTTGTAATTTTTCCACGCGTGCAAGAAAGATTCAACAACAGCCTTCTGCCTTCCATTGCGAGGTCCTGTGAAAGCATCGGCCAGCCTCGATAAATTGCTATTAAAACACACACACATGCGACGGAAACTAACCGGAAAAGGAAACACCCAACGGGAAATGCTCTTTACGGAAAGCTTCGTGGTCATAGGAGCTTTTGTCATCAACTTTCACTTCCGCAGGAATATCTTTTTCAGCAGGGATTCGTTCTTCAACTAGGGCATTCGGTAACGGCGGTCTCGGGGGCAAAATCTGGCCATGTTCAGCTTGATAGTCGGCAGTCTTATCGTCGTTCCATGCAGGGACCACATTCTAGAAACGAAAACTAAAAATTATCCTTTTTCTTTTCTATGGGATGGAGGGGGACATTACCATGACATCTGGTACCTTAGCTCCTTTGGTTACAGACTTTATGAACACGGGTTCATCCTCCAGAGAAGGGCGGGAACTCCATATGACCAGGATGAAGCCGACACAGAACAACATTCCCAGCACCGGAAGGCATGTCGTTCTTACGATCCTTGGGAGGCTGTTCCATTTCTGAAAACATGACACATTTTGAAATACACATAACCAACTAATTACAATATGTCACATACATTCAACACATATGTTTAAAACAGTAGAACATTACTCATCAGGGGCCCAACCACCTTAGCGGGAAGAGGTCAAATTACGTTTCATTGAAAGGAAACAAGGATAATCTTCACATAGCTTTACCTTTTGTCGAAAAATTGTAATGATCGTTACTGTACCTCGAAGAATTTAATCGACCGCTTGACTGACAGTTCGTTCTTCATTATAATTACACAGGACGTCACCTGAAGTCCACGACGAAAATTAGAAGTTGAATGACGCTTGACCCATCCCTCAAATAAATTTTGTGTTTTTTCCTCTGCAACGGTCATTTGAACGCTTGATTAGCCTTCAAATCAGTCGCAAATCTGTTACATGTACAGCATTACAGATATCATACAGGTGATTATTTAAGATGCCTCTAAAATATAAGACTGATTGATTCATTTGGAGAGGAAGTTCCGACGTTTTTGCAACTCCAATTATTGAATAGCAGATTTTCATAAATTACTCATGCGCTAATTTAAAATGAATTTTATCACAGGGAAAAATGATCTCTTGATGCTGGAATGTTTCTCGAGACAGAGTTTATATAGCAAGAGCTCCGAGAAAGTTGTACAAGGATTTATTACACCAACGGTCATATTCCGGGAAAACATGACAAATACAAGTTCATCCCGTTTCCGATCAATACAGTACTCACTCTGAAAAATCCTCTTCGAAGAATCATACTTTTGATCATCGAGGAACTCGTTGGTTTTGCTTCACCGAGAGGTCCAAGAGTGATGAAAGTGCCGGAACCGACCGATTTCATGTTCGGGCAAGAATGCAAAACGTTGGAATGCCCTGGCCACTAGCCGAGGCGCTTTCAAGATCCAAAGAAATTTGGATACGCATCACAGAGGATACCGTTCCCGCTAGAGTAGACTATCATTCACACAAGATCAACATCTTAAGCCTGAAATGAAATAAACGTTCGATTCTCACTTTAAAAACGATCAATTCTCCGCCCGAAGTTCAACAAATGCGGCATTTTAACGCGATTTTATAGTATATTTCAACACTCCTTTGGTAAACACGCCATCACTCTGGCAAGCAAATCTTCATATTAATCTCGTTCAACCAAGTAAAAAGCGGAATGGTTTTGGTTTCGAATTTCGACAACTAATATTTTTCAACTTAACAAATTGAAGAAGGTGTAAAAAATTCTAGAGACATACGTATAAATAAACAAGACCTAGGCGGGTTCTCGTACTAGCATTATTCATCAGAACACTTCACTGAAATTTGCACCATCACTAAAGAGCTTCACGAAGCTCACTCGACGTACGCGAACGCTCCAACTTACGTATACCATTGAGCTTCTTCAAGGTGTCCGTGAAAGTGGGTCGACGGTCAGGATTCTTGCTCCAGGACTGCAAATTAATTTAAAATCAGGATTTATCTGAAAGAGGACTCCGGAATTTGCTTGCAATGAACTATGGAATACTTTTCTTTCAATCGAAAAAGGAAATGAGATTCGACTTCAGTGTTTTATTCGGATTTCCCGCTAAGCGAGACTGGTCTTACATCAACTGTGCTTCAAGAAAAATAAAATCGACCTCATTTCAAGGGCATGTTCGATAGGCCAGATGGAACTCACACAGATAAAATTTAAAGGGAGCATAAATTCGCCTTAGCTAAATTTCCCTATTTGCCTTTAATTCCTTAGTAACTGCAAGTCCCAATCTCTCAAGAACTGAATAAAAGTCATAACTTGAAGGTTCAATCATACAAATGCGGTAAATTTAATTGGTATGGACAAATATTATTTCTTGGCTAACATTAAGAGGAGCTTAAACTTGGGCTGAAACCTACCATAGGTCAGAATTGGGTATAACAGGTCATATTTTCGAAGAAATTCCATAAAACATAAAAAATAAAATATTCAGGTAAAGAAAGCGTAGCATAAAGTAAATTTAAAATCATTTCACAAACGGCAATTGTAGCTCCACGACACCAACGATACTTTCAATCAGTATTCAAGAATCGAATGTACAGTATTTTTTACATAAAATTCTTCGCACTGCAGATATTGATTTCTAAAAAATCCTCACAATTTGCATAATCCGAGCTATTTCAGCTGGACAGCCTTCAGGTGGTGACATTCGATAATCAGCCTCGGTCACTTGCTTCACAACATCCTCGAGCTGAATCCGCGGATACGGCACACGACCGTACGAATAAATCTCCCACAACAGGACCCCGAAGCTCCACATGTCAGATTTGCTGGAGAATTTCTAAAATGAACAACGCACTTAGTTTTACGAAACGTGTCAGGTGCTGTTGGTATCAAAACTCACGGAATTTTTGAGCGCTTCAGGAGCAGTCCATTTAATTGGCAATTTTGAAGAAACGCTTGAATTTGTGTCGCACTTCGAGAACTCCAACTGAGCCAACCCAAAATCCGAAATTTTTGCAACATTCGACTCATTTATGAGCACGTTTCTTGCAGCTAAATCTCGATGCACTACTTTTTTAGATTCAAGGTACTTCATGCCTTCGCAAATATCACATGCAAAATCAATTTGAACCATTCGGGTGATGTGCTGACGTCCACGAGACCTAAGGTAATCCACCAAACTTCCTTTGGACATGTATTCGAAAACCAACGAAATTGAGCCAGGATCGGTATTCGGACGAAGAGTCGAAACCGGGCTAGAATGCGGCATAACAACAATTCCAATCAACTGAACAAGATTTTTGTGCGTCAACGACCTGGAAAGAAAAAAATTGTCTTCAGATAAAGGCACCATAAAATTTACAATAAATAGAGCAAAGGGCCCAAAAAAGCACTTCATACAAATCATGACCAATTCTTACATGCGATCAATTTTTCTACTCCATAGATACCTAAGATAATTTCTTATGAAAACTTCAGCACAATTTCGAAAGCGGTTTAAAACGAACGTTTTTTGCATAAGGAATGCTCTGTATAAAAAATATACGATGGTTGGTAATACTGTACTGTATTACCGAACGAATACAGTACAGTATCGTATTTCGTACTGAGTGCTTTAAACCGGTAAAGTTTATATATTGATTTCACACAGAGCAGTCCTTCTTAATGGAAAGTTTCTTTCAATCCATTTAAAAAATTCAACTATGTACTAGATAGCTGAAAAACAACCACGCTACCCCAAAAAACAACTGGGTCACAAAACGATTCGTTCTGGGAGCTTCTCTCAAAAGAAAATTGACTGGTAAAACTTACTTCATCACAGAAGCTTCGGTAAGGAACTCTTGCGCGGCTCTGGCAGGATCCTTCTTCGTCTTCACCGCCACTCGCCGTCCACCTTTCTTCAATGTCGCGAACAAAACATCTCCAAATTCGCCTTTCCCGATTGTTTCACCAAAAATTATGTTCTTGGCGTCAATTATGAGTCCCGCTTGTCTGAAAGCCTGCAGACTGTCGGCACGAGGAACACTTTTTTGTAGCTGAGTACAAAGACCATCGGCGTCTTGTTCATAATGCTCTATCAAACTCTCAAGGTCGTCGAAGAAATCGATGTTGTCAACTGTCATTCTTCCTTGCACAATTTCCACACGGTAGTATTGGATTTCCCCTTCGAAACTAACGCACAGCGTGTAGTCACCGGGGAAATTATTGGACTCCCGCACCAAGAATAATCCATCTTCACGGGGAACCAGAAGTTTTTCTGCTTCTTCTCGTGAGATATTCCCATGAAACCACGACATGGCTCACGAACTAAGGCGAACAGCCTCACGAAGCATTCGCGTCACGCATTCCCTGCAGAAAAAATACATGGCTCCATTATGATATCGATCTTAGACTTCAGGCTAAAAATTGCAGATCGGACTTCAGCATCCCCTTCCACTACTTCATTCGAGCACATCCGACCAACATCAATTCAAAATTCAAAATAATCCTTTCCGCGGATCAATATTAGCACAAGAGAACAAAGATTTCGAAAAAATTAAGAAAGAGAGGAAGGCATTTTTTCGCTTCGATAAAATCCAACGCAGAGAGCTGTCCGTCATCTTAAGAGCATTTCGAAAACGAAGTCAACTTAAACATCAGCCAAATCGTATTCCCATAGAATCACATGTTTATAACGATCAGCAGGTCGCAAAATACAAGAAGACAAATGATTATTCACTGAATTTGGATGATGCTGGGGTTCGAGACAAAATGCACCTTGACGTTCGTACAGCACTCCACCTTTTCCCAGTCTTGAACTGGGCAAAAAATTTCCAGTATAAAACTGGACACCGGGAAGTGTCCCGGATACGTGAAATTGTATTTTTGTACGCGGATGAAAAACAGTTGCATAAGGTTTTAGTTTTTCGTTCATAATGGGGCAAAAGTTGTCGTCATAGCCATCAGCTGGGATCTTTTCCTTCAACTCAGTCATCGATTGCAGATCATATTGGCCTTCAACTTGAAGTATTTGTCCAGTTGGAATGAGGGACTCATCAGTCGGCGTACGTTTATCACAATACAATTTCACATGATGACACAGCAATTCAGTTCGTCCAGCGTCGTGCCCCGCAAGATTGAAATATGCGTGATTCGTTAGAGAGAGCGGGGTTGGGGCATCAGTAGTTGCGTCAAAATAAATCTGAATGCTTCGAGGAGAATGGAATGAATATTCGACACTGACAAAAACATTGCCCGGATAACCCTGATCACCATCCGGACTTTTCAAATGGAACTTGACTGAATCACGCAAGATTTCGGAGGACCAGTTTTTGCGACTAAATCCTTCCGGGCCCCCATGCAGGTGATTCTCCCCATCATTAACCGGCAGTTGAAACAACTTCCCATCAAGTATGAAAGCACCTGAAGAACATCATTCAAGAATGAATCAAGCAACTATCTATGAAACACACGAAATAGACACCTTTCTGAATTCTATTAGCAACGCGACCGATTGTAGCACCGAAATACGGAGAATCGTCCTTCAAGTAATCTTCGAGAGTATCGTGTCCAAGAACGACGTCAACAAGTTTCCCATCGGTACCAGGAATGTGGAAGTTCCTCACGCGAGCACCATAGCTTATGAGTTCCAACACAGCACCAGAAGTATTTTCTATCATCCGAATTGCTTTAACCTCATCTCCGTTACATAACCGACCAAAACACTCTTCGGATATCGTAACATTTACCATTGCTGATTTTCTTGCGAAATCCAATACGAATCCACAACTCAACTGCGAAGGGAGTCAAGAATAAATGATCAGCCTCCCGAGAAATCTTCGCGATAAACTGCCTCACGAGATGGGAATTCCCTTTCTTTCACCTTTTAAACAATAATTGTTCGGCCAACAGACATTGAGACACACAGACACCCGCACAGGTAAATTGCGGAGCCTCCCATATGGACGACATTGTTACTACTTGACAGAGCTCAATGAAGTCTGACAAAGAAATTCAATGAAGTACAATTTATCCAAATTATGTACAGTATCACTTACAATTATGTACACCTGTATCTACTATGTAACTCTTCCAAATTTCAGTGCCTGTCTTCTACAAATGCACAATACTAAAAAGTGTTAATGTCCTTCACATGAATGATGCATCTGAAATTAGTGCAATCACTGTATTGTACATGGCAAGAATGCAATAGGTTTTCTTTTTGTATAAAGTAAAAATGATTCTGCATGGGCTATTACACCTTTCGAACTGGTGCCAAAGTCAATAACTCTTAACTATGCTATTGACATCAAAATTAGGTCTCAGCTTCAATTCAAATATTCCTATTTGAGCCATTAAAATGCTTGAAAGTCGGCTGGGATAGGGGCAAACATTTGACAATTATCACATTTGCCTCGAGGAAAAGCAGAACAGATCAAGGTACAGAGTTTTTCTACACCGGACAATTTACTCAGCATATTAATTTTACTGGACTTGTCAAGTAATGCAGCATATTTGGAATCCTCCCAAATTTCCCCAATACCATTCCACTCAAAAGTACAGTACATCAGAAGAGTAAGTCTATAGGCTTATGCACATTCGCTGATTCCTGGAAATAATGATCTTGACTAAAATCCATGCAATAAAGCAGATTGAATGGCTTCGTTGAGAACTAAAATAATTACTTTGCCAGATACAGGGCAACAACCAAAAAGATCTCAACCTGAGATGATGCTCAAAAGTAACAATATAATGATTAGAATTGTGTAAAATGGCATCTTCCCAACCAAAAGCAGCTTCTTCAAGCACTGTTCTTAAATGGCTAACATTCATGGAATAACTACTTACCCACAAGGCATGATTTGAATCCCATCTATTGGTTTCTTTAAACAAGATACGTTGAAAAATGTTTCCCAGCAGCGATTAATTGATAGCTTACTGTGAGAAACCCTTGCGAACCATAGTATGATGCATAATTTAAAATAACTCCACTACCTGTCATCACTTGAGTTCCAATCGGGACAATAATCAAGTGAAGTAATAATTTAGCCTAATTTAAAATGTACACTTTCCTTCGCCAATCAGGCATTACAATCATGCTCTGAGACTTCCAAATTGTCCCAAATGACGCATCATATCATCCTTGGAGCAGCGCGATCAAGTTCGAACAAAACATACGATTTTCCCAGTACGTTCAATGTGATTGAAAAAAAAAAGAAACCAACACGGATTGGTGGGATGTGGAAAAGCATACGAAGTGACCAATCCAATACCCATTTTACAGACATTCCTAGATTGTTTGCTCACGGGAAACCGTCTCACAACGCTTCATTGCACAAGACGCATGAATTCCATAGGTATTCTTCACATGTCAAAGATCCGATACCCTTCTGTAGCTCACAGAAGTCCGACGAACACCGATAGCCGTGAAACGCATGTCACAAAAATAACGGCTCGTAGTACAGTGATCTACGTGTTTTTAAAAACAGTGAGAACTTGATCCCCGGTTTGCACACCCACAGACCAGCCATCAGGATTTAGTATTTCTTATTAAGTTGTGTGACGAAGTGAGAAGTCTGATTCGTACTCGCTCCGAGTGCGAAATGGAGACTGCAGCCATCGCATTTTTCGGGAAAGTCAAGACTGCATGCAACATTACATACAACTTTCAAGCTACTAGACAGTTCGAATTTTTGAAACCATGAACAGTTCAAAACAGAAATCTTTATTTCGCAGCCAGTCAGAACATGTCCCTGTCGTCGCCACGAAACCTCAGAAATCCGTTGAACCTCACCTGAAAGGTAATAATACAATAAGGATATCGGTCAACACATCGTCAAGGCCATTATGCCCAATTAAATGTGGAAGTAATAATAATTCCAAATATAAACGGGCTGATCAGTCAACGAATTCTAAATCAATACGTACCTTAGCCTTCTAGCTTCACGTTCAGATTCGAGCAACGTGAGCGTGTCTCCGACGCGAACAGGGCCCTTCACATTGCGGATGATGGAACGCGATGATTCGTCAAGGAACTCCACCTTCACTTGGGTGCATTGACCTTGGGAGCCAGTTCGGCCAAGAACTTTTACAACCTGCAAAATCAAATTCCAGGATTAAGGAGCAAACGGCCAGTATGCATTGCAAATATCAAACTCACGCGAGCAAGCTTGATCCTGTCCATCTTGATTCGGCTGAGCACTTGATTTAAAAAGCAAGGAGTTTACAACGCTGCAAAAATTTGAAGAAGTTAAATGATCTTACAGGATTCCATTAACATGCGTAGATACAATTTCTTTCAAATCGCGTAAAACAGATATTTCACATCCAATAAGGTTACGTTAAAGCGTCGTTACTTCTGGACGTCATTCTAACGTAGACCATTTAGCGGAACATTGAACAAAATCATTTTCACAGCATCATGCTAGTCATTCAACGGACGAATATCCTCGCAGGGTGCTCACGAAGCTTTCGGCGGAAACAGACTACACACACTAACCGGAGTAAAATGGCCTCCGCGAAATGTGCGGAATGTACATACGGCCTTCGACTAGGCTAAGGAATCGGATCTGATCCTAGCAACGGCTTTCAACTGATTCAAATTTATGAAAGTTTAAGACGCCCTTTCCGGTTTGAGCCAACGAGAATAGGAACACAACTTCAACCACATGCACGAATGGGGTGATTACGGCACAGGTGTTACACTACACAGGAATATTGCCCCAGAGAGTGTCGTTGTTACACCTGGAACAATTGAAACCAACTTCATCATCCATACGGATAGATTTTAATCACACACAGTCTTCTCCTGATACGCGACACACAAGCAATCTAACGATGTCTTCCTTGTCGGATTGTTCCCTGCGATGAAACGCCGACTCGCCGGCGGCCATGACAAGAAACGGCTCTTTCGAAAAAACCCACAACGGCGGGAAATTTGAATGCGAGGCTTTAAATGAACGCAAATGCTGTTTATAGTCATAACCCATGATCGGAAAACAAGTAGGAGAATATTTTTTCCCACAACGAAGTCGACAAATTTCTACAAGCTGGCCAATTTTCAAGTACAAAAACCTGCACAAAATATGAATTTTCAGAAAGCTGCAATTATATACTGTAATGTATAGCTTGCGTATTACTGTCATACGAGTATAGAGAACAATACAGTATTTCTTCTGTTGATAGTTTTTTCGTTGTCCGCAGGACTGCTGAACTTGCTGTGCATGACATTTCCAGCAGGTGTTCTAATAATATATACGTGGATAAGGAAGAGAACAGTTATGTTGAACGCGAAGTAGTCATTATAGACGAGAAGTGAAACCATTTTTATGCAGGTGTCAACCAGCAGTTTTATTAAAAAAGAAGAAATCTTCACAAACATTTACGGAATGAAAAAATGGAAGAATTTTCTGTTAATGTTCTTGATTGTTCTGATACTTTCCCCGGTTCGCATTACTTCTTCTGCTGCTGGCGTTATCTGCGGGTCTCTTCGAATTTCCTGACGTCCTTTCTTCGACAGATTTGCTGCTGGTTTGCACTCCCAAAATGAGATCTTCTTTGCTTTTGTTCCACGCGTCGAGTGTTTCATAGCTGAAGGCGGGTCGCTTTTCGTCTTGCTTCCTTTTTTCATGTTCAGAAATACTGCTGCTGGTAACTGCTTCTTCGTGACGCTTTTTCAGAGGTTTGGAATTTAATTTTGAAATTTCTTCACGCTGTTCAATATTGCTCTCAGAGTGAGTTCTTCTTTTTTCAACTTCCTCGTCATTTCTGGTGAAGGCTTTATTGTGATTGGCTTCACTATCAGCAGCAGCAGCAGCAGCTTCTTCGTCGACAGGATTGCGGTGCGAGTTCGAATCCCGTCTGACCTCAAAATTTTTATCGCCTCCTACGTCGTCTTTCGTATAGTCTTTTTGAGACTTTTTCCGGGATTCAGTGTCTTTTTCTTCGTCAGTTCTCTTTCGCGAACCTTCAGAACTTTGTTTCTTGGACTTGACTTCATCATCATCATTGTTATTCGGCCTTTTCCTACTCGGCTTCCGCTTTTGTTCCGCAGCCTCATGATCGTCTTCAACTTCAGTTGACGATTCGTGTCGATTTTTATTCTTCCCCTTTTGCTTCCGCCTTTGGTTTCCTTTGCTTCTCTCGCGAATTTCCTCGTCGTCTTCTTCCTCTTCTTCTTCTTCTTCTTCGTGGTGATGTTTTCTATTGTCGTAGTTTTTTCTGGCTTGGCGAGATTTCGACTTGACTTTGGGGGATGATTCGTCGTCAGGAGTTTCTGATTTCGGCTTCTTTCGGTTCGAATCATTCGTCACTTGACGACGTCCCTTTGATTTTTGTTTGCTGGCGTTTGCAGAACGTTTGCTGCGACGTCTGCTGAAAAGTTATAAAATTATAATGAGGTTAATGAATATGAACTTACAATCTTCAATGACAAGAATTAAAGTCTGTGAGTAGTTTTTAAAATGAAGGAATCTCAAGGACTTACTTGGCAAGATCATTTTCTTTGGGAATCTCCGCCTTTTTCGAACTGTGGATCTCAATAAATCGTCCGTTCTCGAAGCTAAACTCAGTGGGTGAGCATACCTGAGAACAAAGAAAAATTTGGAACAATATAATGACATTAAATTTGAAATTTTCTCAAAGAAGTATGTGCGGTTGATGTGGAAAAGGAGAGAAATATCCAGAATTCCAACAAGTGGCGCCTGCGTAAGAAAAGGTGAATTATTTATGAAACTTCTCAGCATGAATCCTGAAAAATTGATTTAGGGTATGATTTAATGTATGGGCAATATTGTAACTTTGGAAGAATGACACAATTCTTCTACATGCTCAAGATTTCGACACTTAATGGGGACGCCGATAATTTTCTTAAATTTTCCTCAAAGTTTCTCGCCCTTTATACACACAATACAAAAATTGAACGCTGTTTATGTATCATTTCCAGATTTTAATTTATTCGTCGTCCATCTTTCCTGTTCTTTTGACATGAAGTTCATGATCACCGCCTGTTCCCAAATTTTCTGAATAACAGTCGAGATTTTTTTATTATTTGTATATGAATTTTTGAATAATTGAGAATTAATTTACCTTTCTGAGTTTGTTGACAACGCAAGATTCCAAAGCGCGGACGCGTTCAGCCAAAGATTCATGCTCTCTGTGTTTCTGATGAAAAGCTTTCTTGCTGCAACGTTTCACCACGAATCTGATGAATCTTTCCTGGTTTCCATGGTGCTGAGGGATTGCAGCTGTTTGTCCAACAAGAGCCGTTTGTTTACCATCGCTGGAGGAATTCGCAAAGTCGAAGAATAAACAGAGCAGTACCAGAGTCGCGAGCAGATCGCACTTTATCAGCATTTTGTCGTCTAAAGGAATCTGCGAAGGGAGTTTTTTTTTGTGGTCACGGAATTGTCAGTATAAGAAATCAAAAAGTTTTAATTCAAACAAAATTTCGTTTTCTTTTATTCGAAAATGGAATTTTATTTCTGCTTTACTACCGTACTTTTGTTATTTAATTTTTATATGCTTCGAGTGAGTCTGTCGCATTTCTATGACTATGTACATTTTCAGCCTCTACATGTTGCAGAAATAAATTCATTCATACTTCATAGGAACAAGGCTTTTAAAGTCAATGTTTGCACCAAAAGCTTTTGCATCATTGGGATAAGAATCTGGCGTGAAAGTTTTCCAGATTCTCATCAACAAAGAAAATTTAGTTTTAGAAAAGTTTGAATACATCAAGATTTGTCAATCAGGTCAATTTTTATATGATGAAAAAGTTGGAGAACATCTTCAGCTTCAAGTTAAGATGTTGCGGGATTTTTCAAGCGTAAAATTTGTGGATTTATTTGCTTTGGAAATATTAGCGTTGGGAATTGCACTATAGGCAAAGCATGTTTTCTTTGTTGATTTTATTTCTTTTTGCAAGCAAGTTTTTATTGCCCAATGCAAGATTGTATTTGGTGATTGTGTGTGTGATGGTTGTCTTCATGGAACCTGTGATGATAAAATGATGAAGTCTTCTTTTAGCATCCAAGGAGTGAGGATGCTCCAGTTTCTCTTATTTTTGCAGTCATAATGTAATTTTGCACTTTTAAAATTAAATTCCCTTGGAGGCTGGGTAACTGCCTCAGCACTCAGATGTCTTTTGCGTGCATCTGGAATTTTTTTTAATGCAGCTTAAAATCTGTAGTATACACATTGCATCAATCTGTATCAATTCTGTTTGGAAATGTTTAATTTTTGCGGGAAAGGTTTTGATTTGACCAAAAATTAAAAATTTAGCACAATACAGTTTGAACAAACTTCCACCATACAGTAATAGTATTTCAACACATCATCAGCTGACAGCAGCAAGTTGCAGCCAGCGGATGAAACTGCGCACTGAACCGACCCGGAGCTCGGATACCAGGTTTCTATGTAAAAATATATAGGCCGAAAAGTCGTGTTCTCCTTCAACTCTTTGGAGGCCACCACACCTTTGTGTCTGTGTGTGTATCCACTGCTGGTCCTTTATTCTTCTCTCTCTCTCTTCCCCCATGGGTTTCGTGGGGCATCATCGCTGTGAACCCAGTATATCCTGGATATATCCAGGAAAAGAGAGTGAGGATCCAAATAGCCCATTCGTGTGCTGAGCCCAAGCACTGCTGCATGCTGCATGCAAGTTAAACTAAACTAAAAAATTACTCATTGTCTTTTTATTTTAGACCGTCCTTGCCTGTTATGGGTACTTCCTGGGGTTCTGAATAAGGACTACACAATTTCATGAAGGACTTTCCAGAAAAACCAGCAGCTTTCTTGCTTTAGTACCATAGAATATATTTATTGCATACAGCGGTTTAAAAATGCATTTTTCCCAAATCATTAATAATATATTTATAAAGAAGGAATGGCTCCCTTCAGAAAATAATCAGCGGATTTTGCGAATGCGCTAAAATATTTGGGCAGGAGTTCACAGTTTCACAGCATTCACGCGAATTCTAAAAAATTGAGTCTTCGGAAGGACTTGAAATTCGTATTGCAACAATGTTGTTGGAGATTCAAAAATTAAATGTGCTATCCGCAAAAAATTATAATATGCTTTTCCCATAATTTTGAAATTACAGGTTATATTTCTCTCAAACTTCAATGAAGATTACAATTGTAAAATTAAACTCGGTAATATAACAGCAAATAAAAATATTGTATAAGTAAAATGTTTTTCTGCGGTCGATTATCAAATGTTACACAAAAATTAAAATTTTTATTCTCCATTATATTAAAATTACGTGTTGCAAGTCAAATTTTAAAGAAGAATAAAAATGTAAAATGAAATGCGGAAATATCACAGCAAATGAAAAGAAAGGAAATTTAACCTTTTGTGGCCAAGTTTCGCAAAATTATTTCCCATTTTATTTCTAACCCAATGAGGGCCATTTAAAACTGTAAAATTTAGAATTTTGCAGCGTCCAAAAATGTTTAGATTAAGTTTAGAATTTAGACTTAAAACATATCTGTGAATGGTGTGCAAAGATATGAAAGGACAAGTAAATGAGGAAAAAAATCAACCGACAAAACAACAGTGTGGAAATCTGAAAAAATTTGGAAGTAGTCAGAGCAATTTCAGGTAAATGTCTAGTGAAATTTTTAATATTTCGAAAATTTTGGGTACATAGCAAAAGACAACTTTGGAATGAGTCCTCAACTAATTACCCGTCAGAAAAAAATTATCTCATCCTCATTGCGTCCTGCTTTGGCAGAACTATATACAAAATCACAAAATTTTGGAGAACATTTTTATATCGGAAAATAAAATTTTACCGTATACTTCAAGTATAAGCGTCGATATACTCAATCCAGAAATAAGGCAATGAAATTGATTTCATATTCGGAAAAAAACTTTTACATTTTTTTTTACCGTTCTCTGAAGCGAATGAAAAATTGTGATTGTTGGTGCGGATTCAAATTTAATATAAGTTGTCATTCTATTTCAGGAACAAAACTCACCTTCAAACCATAAATTTCACTCGTCGGTCAATCAATCTAATTTTAGATGGTTTCTCTCAACTCGTCTTATTTCTAGGAAACGTGATTCCTTATAAAGGAAGTACATCTTGTACTCTGTCCTTTTCTCTTGCGGAAATGTCACATGAATGATTCGCATTTGTCCATGAAAAAAAGGACGAATGGAAAACAAGTGCGTAAAATGGAAGAACAAACGATTCTCTACCACGTAACGTCACGACGAATCCCAAACAAATACAACTGCATTGCATGTCATAAAACGAGCGTTTTTGTCGTTTCCTGCTGTCGATACATCAAAGTCGTGATCACTGTCGAGTGTCGATCGAAAAGTATCGTCGACTTCCTGGAATTGCAGTATTTCAGGCTGGGCATCCCCTGGCATACACGATAAATATAAATTCCAAAGTATGGCGTGGACAATCATCATAAAATGTTTCTTCAAAATAAACTGTCTGTCACGGATGTAAAATAAAAACGCAAAACTCTTGCTTTATTTCACGAGAGGCATCACGGTGCGGTTCAAGTGTGCAAAAAATAAAACAACAAATACACACATTCACGCTGAAAAAATGCAAGCATTTTCCAGTCAATCGTTGGGTAACCATTTCTTTGCTTAAAATAAAGCAGGCAGGAATAGATTCAAAGTTTTTGTGCCAAAAGTTGGTTTGAAATGTAAAAAAAAAAAAAACACAAGAGAAGTTCCAAGCAGCACTCGTCGGGGTTTGCATGGATGTCGTCATCATCATCGACATCCTTGATTGCGTTGCCCAGTTATTTTCGAAAGGTTCTTTTTCCTGTTGCAAAAATAGTTTCTCTGTCAATTGCAGGTTGTCCCTCAAAGCTGGGTGTGTCGAATCTCGCTCATTTTCGGCAGCGACTGAGTTGGCCCGTACTGGTACTGGCTGACTGTTCGTAATGACTGGTACATGCTGCAAAATATAGGAGACAAGGCACTCATTTCTGCTCTATTTGGTCAATAAAAATAAATTTAAATGAGGTTAAGGGGGCCAAAAACAACTTTGGGGTTCAATAACAGAGAAAATTCGCTTCAGTGCACCGGAGTTTTGACATGGAAATGCAAAACATCAATATATAAAAAAAATAAAAAAGATTTACGCAGTTCTGGAAAGCCTATGTTCAAAATACAAATTCGACGCAAAAATTGGATACGAAAATTTTGTCAATTCCAGCAATCAAAAATTAAGAGAAACGCTAAAAATCTTAAAAAGTTATTACTTCTGCCGTTTAAATTCAATGTAAGAAAATTTGAAAAGTTCTAAGCACTGGTGTACATTATTTTCAAAATAGAAGAAAATTTGAATGCCATAATGCTTCACACCAAGGGATATTAATGATAAAAAAAAAAGTTTCACAACAGCTTGTTGACTTCGGATACTTTTTTTTACTTTGTCCTAATGTTATTGCGAAGTTATACCCAGCAAAAATTTCAGATTGCCGCCTGAGATGGCGGCTATTTTTACGCGTATCCTGGCCGTTTCAGGTGGTGGCCAAACGGTTTTGGCTAAACAGTAGGGATCTGTTTTCCTGACGCGGTCAGGATGGCGTAAAAAACGTTTTTAGTTGACGCTTTTGAAAGCGTCAGAGGCTGACGCTTTCAAAAGCGTTTCTTACGCTGTTAAAAACGTTTTTCTGTGACGCTCTTGAAAGCGTCAGCTTCTGACGCTTTCAAAAGCGTTTCTTACCCTGTTGAAAATGTTTTTGTGTGACGCTTTTGAAAGCATCACATTATTTTGACTCTTTCAAAAGCGTTTTTTACACTGTTAAAAACGTTTTTGTTTGATGCTTTTGAAAGAGTAAAAATAACTTATTGTGACTCTTTTAGAAGCATATTTTATCCCTGTAAAAAACGTTTTTCTGTGATGCTTTTAAAAGCATTATTGTAATTTTATTATAGTAACTGCTGTAATGTTTATTACAACAAGAAATTGCTGTAACATGATTGTAAAGAGCAATTTATGTGTTACTGGCAATTGCAGAATACAACATCGTGTTAACACTGCCTTTACTTTGTTGCAACATCGTGTTAACACTGCCTTTACTTTGTTGCAACATTGTGTTAACACTGCCTTTACTTTGTTGCAACATTGTTGGCATGCACACTGTTGTGTGCTGTAATTAAAATGAATATGTATTATTTGCAATATGGTGCATGAATGCATCAATTGTGTATAGTCC